CCCCAAAACCCCAAAACCCCAAAACCCCAAAACCCCAAAACCCCAAAACCCCGAAAAGTATTTTTACAAATGAAGTATGACATATCTATATAATAATTTAAGTTAGGTAGGTAATCATGGGGCTGTCAAATCAAGCTAACTCTTGGCTTAGCCATATCCAAGCTTCTCCTAGGCTCAGAAAATCCTGGATACTTCTGCCTAGTCTTCCTTCACTCATTTTTTTAGACCAGTGATGAACTACCATAAGTGAATAACACTTGATATCAAAGGAACAAATGGAGAAAAGGGGTATTCAGTCAAAAATTGCAGAAATCATTACAGGAGCTGAGATAGGTATGTCTCTCATAATTTTTTCCAAGACTCATCATACATTTTTAGGAGCAAATCAATTTAAAGGCTACAGAGATTCAGGCAGATTCCCAAAAACCGATGCTTTTTCGAGGCAAACAATGGAATTGTAATTGGTAGAGTAATTTTATAGGAAGAAGTTGACTTGAACTACTCATCCAAGCAGATTCTCCTCAAAGAAAGTTTCTCAAGAAAGGAGCCCTCTTTTGAGAAGCACGAAGGAAAATTTTCTCAATGGCTGAAACATTAACAAATTATTCAACTCAGTCAAGAAGATCAATTATCAGTTTGCCGAATCTGACTCTAAATAAGATTTCAATATTAGGGAGCAGATCTCTCAAGGCATCGATTTGGAGCCCCCCACTGGATGAAACAGAAGAAATGCAGACTGGGTTCTTGAGAATCATCTCCGATGACCTTCCTGTAAGTGGTGGCTGGAATTTTCATACTGTGTTTAATACTATCTCTGAGGATTCATGCTAATATTTATATAGCAGAAAACACCCCATCAGATGCAAAAATTCAACGCCCAGCAAGAAGAGAGGAAGAGGAATATAGAGAGGAGGTTCAGAAACAGCGGTAAGTCAGGCTCTTCTCACTCTCTAGATCTTCGAGGTTACAAATTCATGAAATAAGGATGAAGATTTTAAGACACCTCAAAGTGGCAAGAATAAGCGTAAAACCTCCAGTAATCTGTTGAGGTTGTCGTATTTGTACAAGAAGCTGAACATCATGAATGTTTCAGATAAGAAGTCTAAGAGGAACATCTCTAACCAGCTCAATACTGAGATTAAAGACCCAAGGAAGGCCGACTTCGGCTTTGGATTCAATGGTGTCAAGCACGAGTATAGTACCAAAAGTGATACTAGCACTGAGATTAAGCTCAAGTAAGTAGCTGATCAACCCATGAGCACAAACAATGGCTTTTCTTCTAATTTTGAGCCAACCTTTTAGCCTATAGGGGGATTTTGAAAATTTCACTATTTTCTGACATTTTTGAATTTTAGTTGCAAGGTTCTAGATTTGTGAAAACTTCGCTGAACTTGGATTTTTCAACAAAATTGTGTTTTTAGTAACAAATTGTAAGTTCTTGAGGATATATAGCCAAGAAGGCATTAAGCTCTTTAGTCTTATCCTATAAACTTTAAAGCCTACAGTTTCTCAGAAATTTACTTGGAAATATCCTTGCCGAATAAAAATTATTTTTGGAATTTAGCCGGTTTTCAGATTGTTATCATTAATGAATCTAGGTTTAACCAAGTGTGGGGTGAAGAGAGCAAGATAGAAAGTAAGTATCCTTCTTTCCAAGATCAGACCTTCATTTTCCTCATTACTGTGAACTGTAGCTTCCTTGTTATATCCCAAGACAATTAGTGGCTAAGACATAGTCGTAATTATCTGTGATTAAAATTAATGAGCAGAATGGAATTTTAAACCCTTTTTCACTAAACTATACCAAAAGAAGCTACTTATTTACTAAATAACCCATAATCTCTAAAAAATCACTCAAAACCATACCTAGAGCCTCCTTCCCAATCATCCAAGACCACTAAAAACATAAAAAATGTGAAAAATCTGATAAAATCCCACCCTAAAAACCCGAAAAACCCTCAAAAACCCAAAACAAAGTCCAACTACATCGGCTATCTCCAAAAAGTGCTCCCTGTCTACAAACTGAAGTGCCCTCTCTACTTCAACTCAAATCCCAAAGTAAGCCTCTTCCCAGTCAAAATTCCAAATTTCGAAAATTCCAAAAATCCAAAAATCTCTTCTCTAGATCTCCGCCCAGTCACGCTACAGTGCAAGTAAAGGAAGGAAGAAAGAACCCAAGCAGCAGAAGAAGGAGATTTCTTACTGCTCCAGCAGGGAGAATCTTAAGGGGAATTATGTGTTTAGTAAGGAACCAAGCAGGCAGAAGGAAGCCAACCAGAAGCTGAATGGGGCTAGGATGAGGCATACTAGGAATAATGCAGAGGCGTATACGAGTATTCAGAAGAGAGGTAAGGGAGGGGAGATGAGGTATAGAGATATGTTACTTTGAACAGTCCAGACAGTCAGGGGTGACTGGGGATAAGAGGAAGAGTAAGAAGTTTAAGACATTGAATACGGCGAGATGAGGTAATTTTGGGCGTTTTTGGGAATTTTGAATTTTTTGGGTTTTTGAATGGGAAGTGAGTGTGGTGACTGACTGTTTAGTAACTGCTCTAGATCCTTCTAAATTTCCACTTCGAGAAGAATCTTTTAGCTTTATGAGCAAGGAGAAGGAAAAATTAGAGAGTATAAATCATCAGAGAGTTAAGAAGAGTGAATATAAGGGAAAACAAAGGAAATAATGCTCAGCCATCATGGTCTTACCATAGTTTAAAGAACTCTGGATTCCAAGATAGTATCTCAAAAGCTCTCACAAAAGAGTCTCAAAAGGTATTGGCCCATTGTGGCTAGATTTAATGTGCAATTTAGGACTTTTCACATAAAAATAAAATATCCAATTGTAGACAAGGAAATCTTAGCTTTGGAGGTAAGAGAAATTACAAGCCAAATGGCCTCCAAGCTGATCATAGTCTAAGAATATAACCTACATACCCAGAAGCACCATAAACTCCAATTCTTCAGCCCCTATCACCCATCCAAAAACCTCCCACAAATAAATCCCCCCTCTTTTGCCCCAAAAAAGGCCTAAAAACCCTCAAACCCATAAAATTCAATACTTTTCCTCCAAAAAGGGGTTTTGGGGTTTTGGGGTTTTGGGG